ATATTAGTATATATACACACTTTGTCACAACTTTGATGTATTTTACTAAGATTTTAGGTGATTTGTGTGACAAACAGGGTTTGAGAATTACTTTTTCAGCCCTTTGTTGCAATTCTCAAAATAAGATCAGATTGACGCAATTGCTGACTTTATTTCCTAAAAAAATGTACCAATTTCTTGGTTTAAACATTTGATATGTTTACCATGTTCCATTGTGAATACAATGTGGGTTTTGTTTTATTTTCAAAGCATTGAATTTTGTTTTTATTTTGCTTTCACACAACACCCCTGCTGTTTTAGTATTGGGTTGTACAGTGCTAGCTGGTGGCACATTAGAKTGGTTTTGTGATGCTCCTCTGTGCCCTCACAGGCCTCCACTGATCAGGGAGGGGATGATAAGATCATAACTGTTGAGGTTAGCGACCAAGATGAAGCTGTCAGTCAGATGTAAGATGAGCAGGAGAAAGTCAGATGTTAGGTAAGACCTGATGGAAGAAAAGAATCCCAGTCAGAGTTAAAGTAGTGTAAGCAAAGTGTTTAGTTATATATTTATTGATGTTGTATTTCTCATCTAGATCTCAGCTCAGTCAGTTGATCGATGTGCTGCAGGACGTCTTAAGTTACTGCTCCACGAGAGGACCATAAACTCCATTTTAATGATTATTTATGTTACATATTTAGACATTTTACATTTTTTAAAATGAGTTTAAAATGCCTGGAGTGATGTTTTTGTTTCAGTTTGATGCTGAATTCTTTGTATCACTTCTAAAATGCATGCAGTAAGTTTTACATATTTATTTTAAACAATTATCATCAAAAAATATATATATATTTTCCAGTTATCTTATAAATTTGTGATAGTTTTAGGGAGCAAATCTGCTTTTACTCTTAGTTTTAATAAGCACTATTTGATAATTTAAGTGAAAACAGAGGTGCTTTTAGGTTAGTTTTTTGTGAAAGTTAATTTCCCAGTCCTACAAGGCAGAACATATGAACGTATTTAGTAAAAATGTGAGTACCTGATGTACTATAGCTTGATTATTTTTAATGTTTCAGCCTCCTTTTTTATATTTATTTGACTGTCCACAGGGGGGCGTTCTTTTTAAAATGTGAGACTGTCATATTTGTAAAAGCCTCTTGTAGAAATATCAATAAAACCAGTTTTTGCAGCAAACCAGACCTGCATTAGTTCAGAGGATTTGGCCATTTTTTTCATGTGCACAACCCACACACTAGACTCTAATGCTCATCCCACAAAAGCATGGTCCTTACATGTTTGGCACCATTTAATATGAAATTTAACAGGCTTTCAAACGATGTAATATTTATTGCCAAGAAGCATTGATACAACAAAGAAATAATCTACTAAATACAAATTTCCTGGCAGTGGTCCCCACGATTCACTTCGGTCCCCACGAGGCAGCTTTTTTTTTTAGGAAAACTGTCCACACGTTGCAGGAAAAACCCGTACACACACACACACACACACACACACACACA